TTTTCTAACAATATAAATCTTTGCTATGACTTCTTAACAATTTAACACATCCTTGCTGAATAAAAGTTTTAATTTCTTTCAAAAAAATAAAGAAGAAAAATTTACTGACCCCAAACTTTTGAACTGTAGTGTATATTGTCAGAAAAGATTTCTATTTTAAATAAATGCTCTTCTTTTTTAACTTTTTATTAATCAAATAACCCTGAAAAAAAAATATCACAGGTTCCAAAAAATATTAAACAGCACAACAGTTTCCAGCACTGATAATAAATCAACATTTCATTACTTTTAAATCACCTGTGTGTGTTGCATATAAAGGCTATAATGCAAGGTGAATCAGCAAAATGCTGACAACTTACTTTATTGGACCATTTGTAAGCCTGGAGCAGCTGGCTGTACAGAGGGGTTTTGTCCTGAACGGGGTCTAAACTGAGCAGTCCACTGTTGTGTAAGGGGTGACTCTCTGACGGCCTGCCAACCAAAGTGCTGAGACGCTCCAATTCACTGCAGAAACAAGAAACAAAAGTCAGGCTGGTACGGTTGATATTTTTTTAACATACATAATGAAACCAATGTCACACTTCACTCACGAAAATGACACTATATGATTACATCATTTTAATTGTGGTTCCCAAAGTCGAGCTAAAAATCGAGCTATTTTGACTTTCTGAGCCATAAGTAAAAAACATACCATAATACATTAAAATCATAATAAATTAATGTGGGATTTCAGAATCTGTCATAATCGCTTTTTATGTTGACAGCAACGGGTTGTACTTCGTTACCATGGTTTATTACAATAACACTTGCATTTTGGCAGTGACTACGGTTACCGTTATAACATTTCACAGTGTTAGTGAATGGTCAGACAATTAACTCACTTTAAATCGCGATTGACTGACTGCAAGTTATCTTGGAATTCAGTTATAAAGATTTTCTCCCGCCCTTCAAGGGTCTCCTTATTTTTCATCCCATCTTTAAGAGAATCGAACACCTTGGTGACACTCGATCGAAGAGCCTGGATGGCATTAATCGCTTGAGAAAACGCTTCTAAATTCACTCCAACATTCATAACGTCCGCCATGGCTCCTGAGTGAGTCCGCGGACGCTGGCGCTCGAGTGACGTCACTAACACTGAACGGATGATGGGATTTGTAGTTTCTAATGCATCTTTTGTGACTTACAGGAAGAATCCATAAAACACTTATAGTATTTTATGATTGTGTATTTACCCAAATGTTTTGGATTGATATTGAATATCTTATATTTAAATTTATAAAATTAAAGATTCGACTCTCTGTTAAAGATATATTTTTTGTTATATAAAAATAAGAGTTTGGAGCAAAATTCGGTGATTAATTTAATAACTATGCAGGGAAATATCATATACACAAACAAAAATGGACTAATAATAAACCTAACATTACATTATTTAAAATTGAACATAAGCATTACATTGAAGAATTAAAATATCTAAAAAATAAAAAAGCAAAAAGGTTGTATAGAATTTTTGAATCCTTTTCTTATGAAAATTTCTTTTAAGTTATCCCCTGTAGTTTTATTTTTATTTTTTCTCCTTCATTTTTTTCTGTTTGTTCCTTTGATGCTAATATAAATGTAACTGATAATAGTTGAAAATACTGTGATCCTCTATATATGTATGTTATGTTACTGTTCTTGTTATGCAATAATAATAATAACAATAATAATAATAATAATTGTAGTTTCTAACAGGGACGTGAGGAGAAAATATAGTTCAGTTTTGTAATCGTCGTTATTGGTACCAATAGTCTAACACAAGCAAAATGATTGATGACTGTATAAAAACATGGACGTAGTGTCCGTGACGTCACCCGTAGGTTCCTGAAGAGCGTAAACATGTTTAATTCTTTAATAAAATCTTAATGACAAGAAAATTACTCAAATGACGAAGCTAAAAGTTTGGCAAAGTTGCAGTTTGTATCTTTCATATTTAATTTCTGTTTTAAACTAATATCTCGCTTGTAAGCAAAAACTCTGTTTCTGTTCATTGCTTCAATTTACACGCCACGGAAAGTATCGGACAGCTCCATTAAACGCCACAAACAGCTTTAAACCATTTGAAATCACTAAACACCTTTAGAGTAAAAGTTTCATTTGAGTTTTCAGCCCGTTCCCTTACAGAACTTCACCTTGGTATCAATAGTCTCCGCCAAAATGCCATGTTACGACAGTAGTGTATGAAGTTTTCAGTGTTTTTCTCTCATCTTATTGCGTGTTACTTATTCATTTATTTATTCTACTGTATACAATTTACCAAAGTTTTACTAAAACAATACCTCTAACATTTGGACCGAAACTATGGTATATTCTGTAAGGGGTTGGCTTGTTAAACAACATGTAGTAGGCTACGCTGTGAAAGGAGATTTGGGAATCCTCAGCCTCTGATCTGTCTCTTTAAGCGGGGCGGACTGCCTCATCTGCTGCTGGGACGGTTCAGCTCTTCAAGCCCGTAAATAAACTTCTGCTCCACACTACTTCGACTAGACAAGGCAGGCAGGTTGCAGTGGCCAAAAGTGTTTTCGTCGAGGTTTGCAAAAGAGAACTGAAAGTCAGATATTGCGTTGCTCAATGGCTACAGTAGATAAGGCAGAGTGAATGGAGCAGGAGCGGGGATGGAATAAGACAGGATGGGAACGGGAGGTGGAGTACTCTGAAGTCTGTCCTTGAGCGCACAGGACAGATGCATCAATGAAGGTGGGACAGGAACCGAAACTTTAAATGCACGTTTTTCAGGCAATACTTGATTCGATTCGGAGCTGTCTGGATGTAGGGCATCAATCTAGAATGCTTTCCAACAAACTACGTGGCAGCCGAAGAAAGCACGAAGGAAAAAGCGTTTGCTGTGATCTGCGGAGAGGAGTAACGTGTGCATGTGTTTCTCATCCATCTCAAGTGATATGGCAGGGAACTGACTGAGGGAGAGAGTTTATACAGAAGAAATTCATCTGGGAACAGTAAAGGTGCTGATCTCTGGAACCGAGGCAAGGTTACTCAGGTGTGTTACTTAGGCTTATGTATTTTGGTCATTGAACATTCTCAATCTCTTATAAGCGCCCAGAACACGGACAGCATTTCAGATGTTCTTTGATGAATTCAAGCAATTTAAGATGATGAGGAGATTATTGTCTATCACATTTCCCGGATGTTTTTGGAAAAGTGCTTTTAACTAAACTTGTTTGCTCAGTTTTCTAACAATTTATTTGCTCATTTCTTTAGTTATTTATTTGCTTTTCTAATAGCCGTTTTGTACATAAATAGGTACAATAAAATTGTGTAATATTTGCGCGCATGTAATGTTACGTCATTTATTTATTCGCATTCTTTTGGAGCACGTCCCGTTCGGATGACCTACTTAAGCGCTTACATTTTAAAAAAAAGATTTTCATTGCGAAGTCGAAAAGTTAAAGTTTATCTACTGCATAAGGGAAGATGTGCAGTTGGAGAAAGCGGCACGTTTTCGAAGCACTGTTTTGAAAGTTCGCTATGTTATGAAAAATAATCAATTTGGGCTGAAAAAAAACCGGCAGCTGTGGTTTCCAGAATTGTATCGTTATCGTTAATACATTGTTTTAATCATAATGGTGTCTGTTTACATCACAGTTCCTAACTGTATACATAATATAATGTTAATTGACAAACCTAGTTGGGCTTTTAATATCTCTTTGTTTCTATAAAATGTGCTTATAAAAACACAGCTGTACAATATAATACCACATGGTGACTTTAAAGCAATCATAACCTATAACTCAAGCAACTATGACCAGCACATTATTACCCACACAAAGACTAAACACCATCAGAGCAGCACATGATACAAAAATAATGCAGTAAACCTTAAAAACATAACATTTCATTATGCATTCCATTCATTTTTATAATAAAAAACATACTTTTGGAAAAATATTATCTTGAAAGTATACATATTGCCTTATTAAATATAAATTTTTCTACTATAATTTTACTATAAAACTATAATTTTATAATTTTTATAATTTCATTGTCTTTTAAAATATATTTTACTGTATGTTAGCTAACTTAACCAATTAACAGTTTTTTAACTGTAGAATATATATTGCTTATTTCTGTTTTTTTCCCCTATTTCCTAGGCAACCCATCAGAAATGACACAGCTCATCTCATCTCACATGAATCTTAAGACTGGACTCTGACGCCAGGCACCTTCTGATTGCATATGAACCACTAAATGCACTTCATGTCTCTGAACTGAAGTGACATTCATCCCTGGACTTGAATTCAGTTGTCACGTATAGAAATTGAACTTTGAATTTTGAAGATGTCACAACAGATCTAAAAATAACACCTCAGTGTGAACAGGTTTTACATTAAGTCACACACAGTCTTCCACTGAGGACCAGACTTTGCCCTTTTGGATGGATATTGGAAATTTCACAATCTAAATAATTTCCATGCTGATACACCTAATAGCTGTGGCGCCCCTTGCCTTTCTCTCATGCCCATGGACCTATCCAGTGCCATGCTCTCACAGGCGCTCCTGCTCTTACAGTGCATTATTCTGACTCCCGGCCAGTACGATATCTGTAAGTCGCTGGTCAGCACAGACGATGGACCAACATGGGAATATTACGCTTGCCAGCCCAAACCCATGTCCATGAAGGAGTACATGCAGATTAGAGTGGAGCCTCCCGATATCACATGTGGGAATCCACCGGAGAGGTTCTGCACTCTGGTGAGTTTGGACAGGATCACTTTTGGCTCTGCCTCTTTGTCAGTTACATCTGTTCCATTGGAACAGCTTGTGTTTCCATGCAAATATAGTTTGCAATCATGTTTATTTATGATAGTGCAAGTTTGATGGATTTTCGGTGTAACTTTAGAAGCTTCATAGCAAAGAAAGTCTAACAAAGTCTAAAGAAAAATGATCACATGTACATATACATGCCTTGTGATTATTATCATTATTGTCAAATTCAGGATGTGAGTTGGTGAGTCAAAATCTTTTAAAGGGACAAAAATGAACGGAAAAATGAAAATTTCATTTACTCACCCTCATGTAAATTCCAAACCTGTATGATTTTCTTTCTTCTGTGGAACACAAAAGAAGATATTATAAGAATGTTGGTAACCAAACAGTTCCGTTTCCCATTCACTTCCGTTGTATGGTGAAAAACATAATACTTCTTTGATATTCTTCTTTTGAACACAATTTTGAAGAATGTTGGTAACCAAATAATTTTGGTTCCCATTCACTTCCATTATATTTTTTGACTGTATAAAGGAAGCGAATGAGAACCGAAACTGTTTGGCTACCAACAGTCTTCAAAATTGTGTTCAAAAGAAGAATATCAAAGAAGCATTATGTTTTTCACCAAACAACGGAAGTGAACGGGAACCGGAACTGTTTGGCTACCAACATTCTTCAAAATATCTTCTTTTGTGTTCCACAGAAGAAAAAATCATACAAGTTTGGAACAACATTACGGCGAGTAAATGATGACAAAATTTTTAATTTTCTGCATACTGTCTCTTTAAAAAGACAAATAATCAGGCATAAAAATAGTTAGGCTGTGTTTATTTTTGGAAAGAAAGGATAAAAGAGAGCAAAGAAATCCAGTAGTACAGTAAGATCTAACACAAGAATGCTAAAAAGTCTTCAAGTAACCTTGATATGTCTACACACAGATTATGCAGTAATCTGCAACATGTGGCCATTAACAACGTGTTTGCTCAGAGAGTCAACAAAGCCCGAGTCGATGTGTAAATTTGCCCACACAGCTGTTATTCAGTGTAGTTTCTCTCCGCGCATGAGACAGCAGCCACCGCAGGATTATCTGTGTAAATCAACTCAGGTTTAGCACCGAGCGTGAGGGCGCAAACAATCTGTGTCTTTCCAGGGCACATCTGGTGACCGATCGACACACCATTCGGGTTACTCATCCCATACTTGGGATGAGAGATTAGGGCAATCACAAGCATGAAAATATTATCCATTCTATACAATCAGTGTTTGGAGGGGTGAATTTTAGGCCCTGACCATCGCGTAGCATATACACGCCAAAGTCTATTTTTGCGTATCAATACCACGAGTTTTCGTTTTTATTTGGCGTACTATTTATACGCACTTTCATGAGCGCCCTCTGACAGGTTGGTGAGGTATGAGAGTAGCTAAAGTTAATCTCCATCAGAGATGCTTTGGGATTTTAGCCAGAAGCTTGATTGCACAATAATCGGATAGAGGATTTGTCCAGCTGGACTGACACTACGCATGAGGCCCGGAGATGGAGCGCTGCCTCTGACGGGGTGCTAATTCACACATTTAGACTCTGTGGATCAAAGACAGAATGCCGTGGAGGGAGGCGGACCAGATATTGCTCATTCAGTGAAATCATTCTCTCAGCATATACCGTGCGGCTCACACAGTGACTACGGGTGGGTAGCTGGACTGTGAAGAGAGTCTGAATTCAGCCAACAAAAAAAAAATTTTCAAGACGCAAATGTACTGCAAAGCATAGTGATTCACGAGTGATGGATTTAGCAGAGGTGGGGGACTCGAGTCACATGACTTCACTGTAAAATCTAATTAGTTGGGCTTACTTAAAAAAAGCATGCAAACCGATTGCCTTGAAAAAACTAAGTAAAGTGAAAGAGGAATAGTATGTTGTACTGACAAATGCTTAGTTAGTATAGTTTACTTACACGAGAGTTCTAGTAACTAAAAAAGATTTAGTTGTCAAGAGTAAAAAGTAGGAGAAACAGTTTATGGTTTTTGAATTCAGCGTGAAAGAAAGGATACAGTTCTTTGAAGCTTTGCAGTTCTTTTGCCGTAACCTGTAGGAAGGCTGTACAAAATGTCACAGACCACAAATAGTGGTTAACCAATTTGGATTGCCCTGTTGACGGGCTCTTTTCAGCTTGAGATATACCTGTCCCTCGACCTTTCAGATTAGGTGTAAGGCCATTCTATGCAGTTTAGGACTGGAATGTGAACAGATTTTAAAACACTAGGCATCATACACTTGCTTTGTAAATAGTTACAGAGGAAAAACTGGGTATCGTACACTAAATGAATGAAGATTACACACTACCAGCCTTTCAAGTATTTGAGATGAAAACAATATAGGCATCTTTACACAGCTAAGTTAAGGCTGCTCTGTGCCGGCTCAAAATTCAGTGTAAAGACGCAATGCCACATCAAAGCCAGCCTTAAAGGGACAGAAAAGAGAAGAATTGTTGAATAAAGTCGTTATTTTTGTTTTCTTTGCGCACAAAAAGTATTCTCGTAGCTTCATAACATTACGGTTGAACCACTGATGTCACATGGACTATTTTAATGATGTCCTTGAAACGTGGTAGTTCCGTTGCTGTCTGTGCAGGGTCAGAAAGCTCGTCGATTTCATCAAAAATAGCTTAATTTGTGTTTCGAAGATCAACGAAGGTCTTACGGCTTTGGAACGACATGAGGGTGGCAGAATTTTTATTTTTGGGTGAACTATCCCTTTAATTATACCTACTCTGACCCACCTCAGTCCCTAGTAACAAAGCATACAGTTGTAATTTCTGTATAAATACACTGTAAAAAATGATTGTGATTTTAACAGTAAAAAACTGTAAAAATGCTACAGTAAAAACCTGTTAATTGGTTACCAGTAAGTTTCCATACTATATACGGTGAATAACTGTAATTACATTTAATGTAATTTTACAGTAAAATACTGTTAAAATTACGGTTTTTGCAAGTGAAAAAGAAAAAGTCATTATATAATTTACAGTGAAAAAAACATAAATTGACGTTCCCAGAATTCCGTGCATGACACTTCA